AATAAAAACGAAAACATTTAAGAAACTTCATCTTAATTATTTGAAAAAGTATATTTTTTCATTCAAAAATTTTTATGCAAATAATAAAAAAATCATGATTTTCTTAAACAGATTTCTTTAACAGAAATTTTTATTAATATGGATATATTGATTATAATATTTAATAAATATTATTTTTTTATTTTTAATACATATTTATATTTATCTTATTATGTATAAATTAACTATATATAAAAATTATAAATAATCATTTTTGTTCATAGTATATAAAATGATATATTTAAATAGACCTAAAAAAATAAAAAAATAAAAAAAATTATTTCAATTAATATGAACTAGAAATTGGATTTCCTTCTAGTCTAATATATGTCTATATGTCTTCTAGTCTATTATATGTATAATATTATACATATAATATTATTATTTTATATTAACAATAATAAATTACTTTTTTCCTATTCACAAATAAGCGAAATATTTCATAACTTAATTAACAAGTAAATATATTATCAAACTATTTTAAAAATAATCGTCTATAATTGAAGAAATAAAAAAAATAAGATATATAAAGAATTAGAAAATAATTGATTTCATGAAAATAATCAAAAATTTCAATCAAAAATCAAAAATTGTTATAAAAGATTAAATATATATGAAACTTGTACTTTATCTTTAAGCTCATTTTTATTTTTCTACTTCAAATATATTCTATTGTAAAATCACTCTTATATCAATTTTTTTAAAAAGTTCCAATTTATCAGTAGAGTAAATATTCCAATCTTTTCTAATCTTATAGAAAAATTTAAATAAGTAAAAAAAAAAAAAGAAGAAAACGACGAAAAATTCAAAAAAAGGAAATAGAAGAATATAAAATAGTGAATTAGAAAAAGTTAGATAAAAAAAGAACGATATATGCGAAAAGAGGAAAACCAACCACAGGAAAAGTAAAATACGGAAATTGAATGTAAAAGATGAAAAAAAAAAGAGAAGTGGGGACGAAGTGAAACAGAGAAGAAAAGATGAAACAAATAGAATAGGAGAGACGAACAAAAATAGAAGGAAAAGAAACAAATGCGAAAAATAGTCAGCGTAAAGAGTAAGAGAATGATGGAGGGGATAAAAAGCGGGTAGAGCGAGAATGTTAAGGACTGAGCGGACAAGAGGAAAAAAGAATTTGAAACACATCCCGTATGAACACGGCGTTCTCTTAACACTCTTATCGCGTAAATTGAATTGCACCCTCCAACGTGCATGCTCTTTTTACATTAAATCTTTTTATGCACGTCCTATTGCGTTTAATGTGCTTAATGTTATAACTCGTTCAAAGGGAATGCTTTCAACCCATCTCTGTCCTATGTCTTCTATGCTTAATTCATAATTTGTTCAAAAGCAACGAAGTCGTTGAAATTATGTCAGAGGAAAATATCTATAAACAACAAATTTTATAAAAATTTTTCAAAACATTCTTTGTAACATTTTCTAATTTTTTCTTTTCTTAAATGAAATCTTTGAAAATTCTTAAAAATTCTTACATAATTATTTCTAAAATTTCTTCTATTGAATATTTTTTAATTTTTACAAAATGTTTCCAAAGAATAATTAATCAAATAAAAAAATTTTTTGCGATAACGTGAAAAATGAGCGCCAAAGTGAATGAGAGGAGGAAGGGGGAAGCAGAGAGAGAGAGAGAGACAGAGAGAGAGAGAGAGAGACAGAGAGAGAGAGAGAGAGAG